CACGCGTTTGTTTTATGTTTTGCCGCTTGATACTAGTTTAGGTCTCGATTAATCACCAGTCTTTGCGAGATATTATTTTTTGCTAAGCCAGGTTTCTAGCTCTGGGAATCATCGTACAATGAATGATAACAATTTCCTTGCAGTGAAAATATCCGTTTTGATCTCACTCACGAAATGAAACGATGGAAGAGAAATAAATTTATGCAGAATTCTGTCAGTGCTTTAGTGGTATGGTCAAATGTAGGTTTAAGCTGCTTCAATATGTACTAAAGCGCAGTAAAAGAGAGTAAAATTGTTTTTTTTTTATTGAGGACTCGAAGTTTGAAAATAAACAAGCGGTGTCACGCAGTCTTAGATTTGTCAGTTCCCATTTGTTTTGATACTTCCAGGAAGTCTCATGTTGTGAAGGATTGATCGTTTAAATTTTTTATATGGATTTTTCAGTTGTTGTAATCTATATTAGCTCACGGGAGATTCAAGTGCAGTGTTGGAGTTTGCATGGAGACTAGGAAGTGAAGCGAAATCAACTAATGTATATTCAGTGATTAGAATATTACTACTTCCCTCTTTAAGATAAGGCTTAATACTAATTTCTTGTTAATTTTTGTTGTACAGTGTTTAAACGAGATCTGAAGGATTTTAGGTTTTTTATGGTACAGTCAAAAACTTAAAATCGGCCGCAGAAATGACAAGAAACAACGGTAAGCGAAGTTTAAAAAGTTAAAGTATTTAAAAGAGCTGGTCATGTTGATTGACTTCAGTGTCAGTTTCTATTCTCCATTCCGACTGTTACATTATGCTTGGATTTCCCTAAGTTATGGTTTTGTTAATTTAGAGACCAGTCAGATTTTACAATTCCTCCTTTACAAATAAGGAGTCTTGGTGTATGAAATTATAAACGAAGTTACAATGAAAACAACAGTTCACTGTGAAGTCTCTGAGTTTTTCTGGTGTCACTTTACTTTTTGTACTGAATTTGTTAGGAAATCTGTGATAATAAATCATCTTTCCTTAACACATTGACACCTGCGTGTAACACGTGCCTATTAGTCCAGGAGCATATGTCTGATAAATAATTCCCGTAGGCTTTTTTGGAAGAAAGCAAATCATTAGCCAAGTAGTGTTCATTGGACCACCAGGATTCCTGAAAACGTTGTTGACAATTTTGTTAAGCGTTCAGAGGATAATTATGGCGTGTTTAAAAAGGGCCTAGGTGATGCAGCATGAAAACGAGGCTAAAAGACTATAAAGGGCCATTATTTCTTTCTTATTCAGGGAAACTCAACCAAATTCACCAGGTACAATAAGCAAGCAACCTCGAAGCCAACGGATTAGTTTAATTCATTAGCAGAGGTCACGTGATCTATCTCAGCCCATATCCCGGACGCGTGGCCCAACTCCTTAAATATAATTATGAGACAGTTCTGATGCCAGAAAATTGTTTTTTTGTTTTGTTTTGTTTTTGCTTTTTTTATTAATTAAGGAAACAAGGCTGCTAACTTTAAACCCAGGCCTAAGATTTCGGGAAGAAAACCTCCATATTCATAAAAAATATATATATTCTTTTCGCATTCCTATTCTATTTTTTTTAGTAAGCAGGCACTTTATGAAGCAGTTTACATTAGAATATATTTTTTAGCAATGAAAAGTTCCACCATGTATTAATTATGAAAAAAGACTGGGACCTTAGTTTTGGCAGTACGTACTGGTCAGCTGACTTTTTCATCGTAGAAGCAGTCCGCCATATTGAACTTCCAGATAATGTAGAGTTGTAGATATGGCTGATTTCAGCCTTTGTTTAATATGCCAAAAGGAGAAAAGTGAACAGCTTGTACACAGTCCAAGTTCACATGAAAAATTGTTGAAGTTTGTAGAGGAATGGGCAAAATACGGTGATTTACGATGTTTTGATTTGTGGTCAAAGCTGAAATCAGTTTCAATAAATGAGTTGACAGAGAGAAAAGCATCATGGCACAGAAGCTGCTATCAGGAAATTGTGCATACTGGACTGCTAAAAAGAGCCAAGGAAAGGTATGTTTATTGCTCTTGTCAAACAATGTTCTACTATTAATAATGTAGAAACTGTAGAGACTAAATTAAATGTACCATGATTGTCTAATGGAAGATCTGATGAGCAGTAACATTTACACTCAGGTACGAGAGACATCTTGAGGGTCCCAACGAGGCAAAAAGAAAAGTCAAAGAGCCTTCGCAGCTTACCCACTCCCAGACGTCGCCATATGACAAAAATGTGTGTTTCTTTTGTGAGGAGAAAGGGAGTGTTAAACAACCTCTGCACAATGTTAGCACGTTTTCTGCTGGCGAATCATTAAACGAAGCAATTAACTTATCAGGAAACGATGTGTTGGGAGTGAAACTTAGCACATCCTTGGATGCAACTGATGCACATGCCATTGATATAAAATATCACAAGAACTGTTGGCTTAAAAACGTTACAAATGTAATAAAGAAAGCTTCGGCATCTGATAAATGTAGCTCAGATTTAGTTATTGAAGCGGCGGCAAGAATTGAGTTCCTCGCCATGACAGAGACAGCATTGAGAGAAGGAAAGATCCTTACAATGTCTGACCAGCAAAGCACTTTTGAAGAAGTCTTAAGAGCAAATGATGTTTCTAATGCAACATGCAGTCGAAAAGCACTAAATCTTTTACTACTGAGTGAAATTTCCGACATCGAGTTTCACAAACCAAAACGACTGAAAGAGGCTGAGAGGGTTACCATAAGGGAAACTCGAGAGGAAGCCATTCAGTTGTCTGAAGATATCAAGGCTCAATGTAACAAAGAAATGAAAGCATTGTTTGATGCTGCTGCCGCTCTAAGGAAAGCCATCAATAGATCTAAACGGTGGGAATTTACTGGGACACTCGAAGCCCCCAAAGGTGATATTGTACCAGAGGAACTTTATGGGTTTTGCGTATGGCTTATTCAAGGTCCAAAAACTGATAGGTTAGATAAGGAGAAGACAGAAGACGTGAAGAAGCGCGCTACGAGTTTGTGCCAAACGGCAATATCCATGTGTCTTACAGAGAGGCAGACCAGCAACAACAAGTCCCAAACACTGCGCCTGTCGAGGGAGATGCCACAACAATTAGCTGTGGGACTGGCCGTGCATCAGCTTACCCGAAGCAAAGAGCTAGTGAATATGCTTCATGGATTCGGAATGGCAGTTGAGTACAACAGGTTGATGAGAGTGGAAGCTCAGATAGAGGCTACTGTTCTGAAACGAATGGAAGAAAATGGAGGTGTCTACCTTCCGCCTGATATCGTCAAAGGGTGCCATGTATTTTTTTGCTGTGGATAATTTAGATTTTGCTGAAGACACATATGATGGACAGCGCACTCTCCATGGAACTGCTATGGCAATCTACCAGAGGAAGGATCCACAAGATGAAAAGCAGGAGTTAAGGTAAGCAATCATGGCATCAGCTACTATATTTAATACAAAGTCAGGTGCTGTTAGTCCAAGTAAGATCTGCCTTCTTCAAAACAAACAGGGGACAAAATTTTGCGTGCAATGGTTTAAAGTCAGGTCTGTCCCAATATATTTCTTATATTCCCGCTTTGTATTACGTTCACCTTAAATAAATAGGGGAATTATCAATTCTGTTCATTTTAAGGCTTGTTGACACCAAAGATCAGAGTAGATCAGTGGAGAAAGTGCCAGAAACTATAACAACCATACTGGAATGTCCTAGTCCTACTCCTAAACCAACAAGTCCAGTGTTTCCTTCATTCGGGCTTTTTGCTCCAAATGAGATCCTCATTGTTGTCAATATGCAAGATTTTGCGTGGCTCTTAGCCCGAAACTTCTCATGTCAGCAACAAGCAAACGATGAAGTACCATTGAGAGAGAGAAACGAAGATTTACAAGAAGAAAGAGGACCGTGCTCCAAAACAATTCCAGTGTGGTCAGCCTTCAACTCGCTCATTAGCAGCCCTATGGATGTCACGAAAGTGGGAATGCCGCCTCTGTTGCCCTCATCAGCCCATGAATGGCCGACCCTGTTAACTATTCTAATGCAAGCACAGAACATCAGCACTAGCATTGTTGGTCCAGGCAGAAAAACGGTTATCTCTCTAGATATGGGGCTTTATCAGCCAGCAAAAAAGCTTCAGATGGCAAGAAATGATCTTCAACATCTTATCCTCCGTCCAGGAGAACTTCACGTCGTAATGACTCAATTTTGCACCATTGGAGCATTTATCGAAGACAGCGGTCTCGACCTTTGCTGGATTGAAGCTGATATCTACGGCCCTGGGACAGTGAAACAGATACTCGATGGGAACCATGTCAAGAGAGGTGAAGTAGCCCATACTGTAACTCTTGAAGCATTATTTGCGCTATACCAGAAGGCATTCTTTGAGAGCTCGCAAGAAGATACGAAGGATATTGCAGATCTCTCAAGAGAGGTTGCTGACGCGTGCAAACAAGCAGCGAATATTGAACTGAAGGAAGCAAACACTAAGCTGATGAGTGCCATTGAGAACCAACGTCTCTTAGAGAAGATGGCAGAATTTGACGCAAAGCGAGGTCAGCACCCGTTGTTCAAGGTGACAAGACAGTATATGCGCATGGTAATGGAGATGCTTCAATTTATCAGGGCAGTACGTATGGGTGACTGGAAACTACACCTTCAAGCCCTGCAGATCTTCACCAAATACTTCTTCGCGCATGATCGCCTGAACTATGCACGAATGGTACCACTGTATCTAGCAGAAATGGATTCCTTACCCGAAACCGATCCAGATGTCTACGCTGAGTTCCTTTCAGGAAACTGGGTTGTAAACAAAAACACCAACATACCATTCTGTGCACTTGGTGCAGATCATGCGCTCGAACATGTCAATCGTTCGATGAAAGTACACGGAGGGCTGGTAGGAATCACACTTAACCAAACTGCACGAAACAAGTTTTTTCTCACTGCTCCAGAAATGGCAAATCTTTCAGGGCAAGCAAAGGATATGGCAGGAGTAGCTCCTAAGATCCAAACGCAACATCACAACCACACGCCAGCTGTACTTTCCCGAGAAGACAAGAACATCAAAGCGTTGATGGAGACCATTGAGGCCTTCACCAACCCTTTTGCTGATGAAAGCTCTGATCTCTTCAACCTTGTTACCAAAGTGGTATTGCCTGATAACATCAAGGCAGACCTGTGCAGTCAAGCTGTTATAGGACAGGCGTTGTTTGATACATTTGTCAAAGAACGCATTCAATCTGAGAAGGTAAACATCTGGTCTACAATGAACAAACGTAAGCTTTCCACGTGGAAAACCAATGCAAAGAAGATGAAAGTGTCGACAAAGGAGACGGTGGTGGAGCTGCAGGAAGACCGGTCCCTGTTTGCCAGGATGATGATGGTATGCAGAAGTCGCCCAGGTATTAACGTCCAGGAGACTATAGGAATGTATGAGTTTGCATTAGTGCCCAGGTCAATGTTTGCAGCAGATGGATCCATGCTGCGTTGCTCTGCTAAAAGTGCGCTTATGGCCATATTAGAGAAGCTCCCATCCAGATCAGCCGATCAGAGAAGCATTAGTGACGGCACAACAACAAATGCAGCTCAGTCGCATTTGAAGGTGATCATCATTGATGGTATGGCAGAGCTCCAGTGCCTAGACAAGCCGGAATGGGTGAAGAACTGCGAGCAGCTTGCTATTCACTTCGTCGACACAATCGAACAGAAGTATGGCAGGAAGGATGAAATTCGCCTGATTTTTGATCGGTATGACTTACCCATGTCGTGAAAAGAAGCCACCAGAGAGAAAAAGCAAGGAGGACAGGATCCCATCTATTATCGAATCACAGATTCCACCAACATCTCAAGAGTTTCGATGAAGAAGCTTCTGTCGCATACGAAGACGAAGATGGAACTCACCACCTACCTCGCAGAGAAAGCATTCAGGCACTTCAGGGGACAGAGTGGTCGGCGATTTCTTGTTGCATGGGGCAGTGAATGTTGGACATCTTCAGAGCAACCAAGAAGATCGATCACATGACCCTTGTTAATAAAATAAACTAGTTTTTTGGCTTCAGGGTTGCTTACTTGTTGTATCTGGTGAATTTGGGTGGGTTTCACTGAATTGGAGAGAAATAATGGCCCCTTGTAGCCTCTCAGCCTCGTTTCCATGCTGAATCAGGTAGGTCCTTTTTCAATACCCCATAATTACCGTCTGATCGCTTAACAAAATTGTCAACAACGATTTTTAGATTCCTTGTGGTCTAGTGAACCATGTTAGGCCACTGGCTTGCTTTCTTCCAAAAATGCCCACGGAATAACTTTAGCACCCAGACTAATCCAAAAGTTAAAATTTTGGAGAAACCGGAAAAGTAAACACAATGCGCAGTAAAGTTTTTTCAATCATCTTTTCCCAAAAACAAACTCAAGTGAAAGAAGACCATTTCAGTAACTTATTTTCAACGAAAAGAGCGATAGATGCATATTTAGTTTTTACTCTAAAATCAAGATCAAAGATAAAAATCAATAAATTTTTGCGCACGTGTGCAAACAAGTATGCAGATCGGATTACAAAGTGAATATGCAAATTTATCAGTGTGTGGGGAGATCTCGTGTTACATGAAATTTATAAACGGGAAGAAAGACGAAAGCTTTATTCAAAACAGTTCTTGATTTTCCGTTAGAACTGAAAAACGAAATATCACTTAAACATGGGCTACAATGACAGCATTTCTCCTTATATTTTAATTTTTGTGAGCAACCCCAACAGGTACTGATGACTGAAATTAGAGGCACCCTAAGTGAGATTTGCACCCTTGTTAAGCGAGAAAACATCCCCGATTTTTACACAAGGGAGTCCCCTCCGACAGGGTGTGGAAAAGCAATGAGAAAGTGAGTTAAGAATGGTGAATGTTTTTGATAATTTATTATTCAGGGACTTCCGATCAGCCAAAGACTTGTGGCTCCTTAGTGAAAATTTCAAATTGTTCTAAAGGACTTCCAAATATTTCCTAGAAGATTAATGCACCTTTAGGAGCTAGTGAGATTTGCACTGTGAAGGAGGGTTGATTGTAAAATCACACAGTATAGATTACAACCAGCTGCAAGTGACTCACCCAGATTTGAGTGTAATCAAGGAAATGGCGCAGATAAATATGAGATGTATAATTCTACTTGGTTTTTTGAAAATATGTCTGCCAGTAAAACTGGTTGTTTACCAATGGCAACTCAAGCCATTATGCATTAAATTAGTTTACAAGGAATTAC